GCGCCTGTGATAAGCTGGACCTTACAAGTCAATCTTGATCTTAGAAAAACTACCTGAACCAGACTAAGCATTGAGCACATTTGAGGAACTTATAGGTAGAGGAGCGGATGGAGTTTCTTGAGGGCTGTAGAATAGAAAGTAAGTCAGAAATATATTGAAGAAGTTCAAGCAGAAACCCTGAAGCTTCCGTGCTTTGGCAAAGCAGAAGCACATGAGTCTTGTCATGCAAGCCCTTCTGCATCTGTAGATTTATCTAGTATATAATTGATAAGTCAAAAATTTGTCCTGCTGAAAAAATGTTACCTCTCTAGTGTCTGCAGCAGGCACTGGAAGAGCTTTGCATCAATGTATTTTTTTACTATATACGTTGTGCAAAAGAGGCTGAAGTTCTCCTTGCCATGTTCTCCACTACCATATACTCATTTCATCATTCATTATTTATTTATCAGGAGCTGTAATTTAAGATTCACCAGGCATATATTTGGGGCAAAGCAGAATCTTTATAGACAGGATTTTAAAAATTGGTCATTTTTTTTTCTTTTCTTTTCATGCTAATTTCAGTACAATTCAAGCTGTGATGGCCTTGAACAGGCAGTGTTTACTACAGCTGTCTGGCCTTTTGCAATGTAGAGTACTTCATGGGTCATACTCAAGGTTCATTCACGTTCAGAAGTTCAGGAAATCACTTAGTTCTCCTTTCCATGAAAAAACCCCCAGTGTTAATACTTTGCTTTAGTTTGTATTGATTTTTTGTGAATCAGGCAGGGTGAAGTACGATAAATGAGCCCATTTGTTTTCTGGCACATGGTAGAATGCTTTTGAGTTCTTTGGAATTTTGATATATAAACCACGTGCATATTGATAGGCTCATTTGTTTCCCTCTTTGGAGCACAGGCATATGTTCATGCCTTCAAAGTTTACAACTGTGCAAAGTATCTCCAGAACACTTTACGTACTACATAAGCCCTAATGATGGGTTTAAGTAGAACAAAAGCAGTGAGTTTAACTTCACCCCCATCACCCGGTAGCCATCACAAACCCATGCTCATTCAAAGAAGTAAAAAACACCATCCAAACATCACATCAATGCTTTCCACCTAGTCCTACATACTGTACTCAGTTCAGGATACTCGATAAGGATTTCAGGACTGGTACATGGATGGCTTTGAAATAATACATACAATGACTGGTATTAGTTAATGGATTGAAACACATGAGCCTGAACCCAGCACTAGGGTCTGTGAGAGATGGCTGGTTGCTGAACATCCAGAAGCTATATACAGCAAAAGCACCAGTAATCACTCACGTTCAGAGGGCAGAGTCAGCTAACAAAGACCAAGTGATACAATAAGAGGTACTAATTTAGGGACCCTTTTCCCAATAGTGACTCTGAGTGGCTGCTATTATAAACTGCAGAGGCAAGAATAAGCTGTCAGGGAGGCACTGCCCAAAGAGTATGTACTACCCAGCAGAAGGGATGACTCTTAGGCTCTCTTCCTATTGCAAACAGTGGACCAGGGCAGCCCTTTGCAGAGGGGAGAGTGCTTTGTGGAATTCTTTGCTGTTAACTTGGGAAAGAAGAAGCTTCAAATCATGATCAATAACAGCAAAAACAACCACTGATCCCTAGAAAATATTGTTAAATGACCTGTAGAAATATTTTTTTTTCCCCTGGGTTTGGGGTTTTTTTTGTTTTGTTTGGTTGGTTTTTGTTTTGTTTCGTTCAACACATAATAACCTATGGCTTCAGATCTTCCAAGCCACATGAAGAAGTGAGAGCAGCAGAGAGTTCTCTAGAAGTCCCATCTTTGTTTGGAAAACTATTCTGGCATTGTGTGACTGGTGTGTGATAGTTGTAGGCCTGTTTTCCAGGCGTCTTGGGAGAGTCGTGTGATGAGATAGAAGGGGTGTGCTGAGGGTGGAGCAGCACCATGTCGAATAACAGAGATGCCACGCTGTGCTGAGGCTACACAAGAAGCGATGTGAGGGACCTCTTTGGCCCTGGTAACATCTGGAGGGTGGGAGTTTATAAACTATGGTTTAATGTCACTTAAATACTCTTTTCCTAGGCTACTGTTTCATTCCTCTCATCCTTTTTCTAACTTGTATTTTTAAATGTTTTTGCTCAGAGATTAAAGCATCTCTTCCCTTTTTTTCATTGCCCTTCCTTTTTTGGGAGACGTTTCTTCTTTCTGTTAATCTCTGAGTAGTTTCAGTTCTCTTTCTAATTTATGCTTATTTTATTGTTCTAGCTCCCTGGTTGCTTTTTTTATCCACTGGCTTTGTTGCATGTTTTTAACACACATCTTGTGTAACAAAAATATTAGAGAAACACAAATGTTTATACTCAAGCTTCGTGCTGGAGTCATTTGCCTGGATAAAGGCTGTGTTCAGAACAGTAGTATTTTTAGGGCTGGATAGAGGATGAGTGAAATCTTGGCTCTGAAACACTTATTTGGAAAGCTCCAGGATCTAATGTGTCATTTGTGTTAACACAGGTGAAATGTAATCTATTTTGCAAATAATTTTGCTTTTCTGTTATTGTCTTGAACTGATGTTGAAGCAGTAATAGCACCTGGATAAATGTGCTGCATTAGTTAATTAAACCATGATTATCAGCTGTCATAATTGCATCTTATTTGTAGAACACAGTTTTTGGCATGAGAGTAGAACTAAAATCCTGGCTGTTTGTATGAATTATTGCAAGAACGCCAGTGATTGTGAAATGATTTTTTTTTTTTTTTTTTTAGAATTTTGCTTACAACTATGTTTTTACTAGAAGATACAGGGAACATTAGTAGAAAGCTTAAAAATAGAAGATTTGGAGTCGGAGTTTTGAAAACAGATTATTTTCTCTCCTCTGAGCAGAGAGAGAATACCCCAGTATTCCATGTATCTCTACTTTTCTTCTTCCTCTGTAATTTACTATGCAGCAGCAGTGCAGGATTCTGCATTTCCCCTACCAAATCTGACATTCCTTACAAAGCTACCTCTGCTGTTTCGCTTTTAGTAATATTGCTAGAGCTGCAGAATTGCTTCTGAAACTCAGATCACAAGAGGCAATGAGTCTTAAATTTAGCTCTGAAATGTGAATGTTTTAGGATGTGGATGATCTGCAGGATAATAAATAGTGAACTGCAAGTCCTTATCCAAAATAGACCGGGGGATTTGCGCTTAGTGGAGCACAAGAATGCGAGGGCAGGACACTGCTGAGAGTAGGGCTAGTGTTTGTATGTGCAGAACACGCCAGTTGCTGACTGGATCCAGCCTGGGACACCAAGTCTTGACACTCTGCTGGGGCTGTAGGAGCGGGGTGAGGCTTTCCCTGCTCTTCAGACCTTGCTTCTTACTGCCTTGGGAATAAGGAGCAGGCTGAACGCACAGAGGAATAAAAGGCTGCTGGTCTCACACTCCCTTTATTTTAGCTCCTGAGTTAGAGAAGCTACCCAAACCAGTTGCTGTTAAAATGAGAGAAATGGATTATTCCCATTCTCCTGTAAAAGCTAGTCTATCCACTGTGCTTAAGACAGAGAGAGATAGAACACATTTTAACCTATGCAACATTCATAAAATGACAATGTTTGTGGAAACCTCATGATCTTGTTCTAATTCTCTTCTCTCTAATTTTTGTTAGCAAAAGGACACAAAAATCGGTGTCATGATATTTTTCATACTATCTGCAGAGTCATTCCTTATCCTGGCTTTCATCTCACATATCCAACCTTTTTTCTGCCATGGCAGTCATTAGGGTATTGTCATCCAGCTCTTTACATATTGTAAGCCACCGTGTTACTTTATGAGAGTGAAAAATCCTGTGCCTGAGAATTCCAGTCACCTCTGCTCTGGAAAACAAATGTAGAACCAACTCTCCTCTGTATTGATGTGCATTGCTTCTACTAGGCCAAATCTATGAAACTCGGAGAAAAGGGTTGTGATCAGCAGCACAAAGTCCAGCTGGAGGTGGGCCAGTCATTAGTGGAATACCCCAGGAGTTGATACTGGGGCTAATACTACTTAAAGTCTTCATTAGTCACTTGGACAATGAGGTGGAGTGCACCTTCTGCATGTTTCCAAATGATATGAACCTGGGAGGAGTAGCTGATAGAGCAGATGGGTGTGCTGCCATTCAGAGAGACCTTGACAGGCTGGAGAAATGGATGGACAAGACTCTTACAACGGGAAATGTAAAGTCCTGCACCTGGGGAGGAATAACTCCCTACATCTATACATGCTGAGGATCAAACAGCTGGAAAGGAGCTTGTCAGAAAGGGACCTGGTGGCCCTGGTAGACAACAGCTGAACAAGGGCTACAATGTGCCATTGCAGCAAAGACAGCCAACAGTATCTGGGGCTGCAATAGGAAAAGTGCTGCCAGCAGACTGTGGGAGGTGACCCTTCCCCTCTACTCAGCACCGGTGAGACACATCTGGAGTGCTGTGTCTAGTAGAAGAGAGACATGGACATACTGGAGCAAGTCCAATGAAGGATGATGGAGATGATTAAGGGATTGGAGTGTCCCACCTCAAAGGGGAGGCTGAAAGAGCTCTTCAGCCTGTTCATACTGTTCAGCCTTGAGAAGAAAAGGCAGCTTAGGGGATCTTGTCAATATGTTTAAATGCCTGATTGGAGGGAGTAATGAAGAGGGAGCCAGACTCTTCTCAGTGGTGTCCTATGAAGGGAAGAGTCAATGGCCACAAATAAGTACAAAGAAACTTCTTAACTCTGAGGGTGGTCAAACACTGGACAGGTTGGCCAGAGAAGTTGTGTAGTCCCCATCCCTAGAGGTATTCAAAACTTAACTGGATGTGATCCTGAGCAACCTGCTGTAGGTGACGTCTCTATGGGCAGGGGGGTGGGCTAGACAGTCTCCAAGGGTGCCTTCCAACCTCAGCCATTCTATGATGCTGTGAAAAAGGAACATGAAACCTCTCTGAAGCCCTCAGATGCCAGCGATGGAGGCAAACAGTATGATACTGTAACTGAGACTTGCCTGTACTTACTTTTGTGAGCACAGTGGCTAGGTATGGGAGCTAGGCTGTTCCATACAGGAGTAAGATTTTTTACTTTGTGTTGGTCTATGGACTTCTGTTGAAAATCTTTACCTGTGAAAGAAAAAGATAATCTGTTACCATATGAAAATAATTGTAAATAATGTGGTGCACTGTAGGTCTCTGGCTTCTAGGAGGAAAAGAATTCTTACTTAGTAATTCTCAGAAATATGTAATAACAAGAAACCACCAACTGAAAAAAGGTGTTGCTTTGTTCTCTTTACATTCATTAAAAAGAGTGGCTGATTTAATGTAATCTTCGTGTGTACCATTATCACTTCCTCTCATATAATACACTCATTAAAACAGGCATGGTCCAGTAGCTGAGTCCATGTAAGAATATTTGGACACTGAATTTGTAGAAATGTTCAACTAGATGGATTTGATTTCAGAATTGAAGCTTTAGTTTGACAATTTTTGTAGTAGGGTCTCAGCCTTTCTAAGTACTAGAATACAGATGGAGTTCATCTGCTGGTTGGAAAATGAGACTGGTGGAAGTCAATCAGCAGTAAAGATGAGCTTTGAGAAGGTTTTGCTGCAGGTGAAAACATAGCAGAACTGATATAAACTGATAGTGATTCTTATTAAAATATGTTTATGGCAATTTCATTTCTACCAAGAAGAATAGATACTGGAAAATGAAAGATTAATTGGCTAACTGTGGCATTTCACTGGTAAGATTAAAGTTAACTTTGGTTTAGTACTGTTAAAAACCCCAATATATTAGATGATGTGATGCATTTCACTACATAAATGACACATCAAATATTATTAAAAAAGTAGAAACTCAAGCACCAAATCAACATTGTCCCCAGATCCTTTTCCTGAGCTGACCTTATTCTGTGATGTTTGAGATCCTCAAATTTTTCTTTTTCGTTATCCCCAGATCTGAGATGAGCCTTGTAAGGAGTCTGGAGTTGTCTGGCCATACAGCTGCTCAACCAGTATGGCATTACAACATAGCTCATTGCAGAGCAAGCATATGCTTTGGTGGCATGCATAGATGAGTGGAGACACAGGCTGGATGTAGTAGGACATCATAAGCAACAGGACGAAATGGAATGATATAAATTGCCTTTGTGGCTTTGTGGTTGGTACTTGAAAAAACCTATGTATTGCTGGGCTGTGCAAGATAAAGCTATAGGAAAATAGTTGTAGAACAGTTTTCTAGAGCTACACTGAAGCAGTTGCCAAGACTGCTGTAACTATGTCAGTGACCAAATGGATTGTGTGAAAGGAGCTGAAGTGATGTTTATCAGACAAATCCCCATGTTATAGTGCAGTCTTTGGCTCAGCATGGAGCAAGCTTCTGGTCCAAAGACCATGCAGTTGATAGACATTGGATCAATCTACTGGATCCTGTGGGTAAAACTGATGCATATTGGGTTAAAGGATGAAGAATCTCTTATGGATGAGCTGTGTCTAATAGAAACAGACTTTGCTTTTCTTTTCCCATGCTTTACTTTTTATTTAGTCTTTAACACTCTCTCTAGGGTGAGGCAAAAGTTGATAAATTTCCCCTATCACATCCTCTGTTCACAAGGAAATAAATGTATCAAATCCAAAATAGCAGAGAATGAAGCCTGCGGATCCTATTAGTGCAATTTGAGTTATATGATTTCAGTGATGCTTATGCTAAGAACTAATGGCTTATTATGTATGTACCATTGTGGCTTTGATGATGGGAGGTTGTTTTTTCTATCAAGAGATATTTCATAAATGGGGATATCTGGCAGCAAAACAACAATACAAAGCATAATCATGTTTGCAAGGTGGATATGAATGCTTGGAAAAGAATCCTTGTTGTCTAAAAGTTCTGGCATGAAGTGGAAGTATTCTTCTGCTCTTCCTTTCTATCTGCTCCACATAACATCAGAGAAAAGACATCATCTTTGTCATCCCAAGAGCATATTTAGGATGGCATTTATTTTTGAATGAAATGGAAAGGAGGCAATTTAATTGTTATAAAATGAAGGACTCCTCTGCATTTTAGTGTGTTTACTGACATTTTTTACAGGTTGTTCTTTGATTTTCCTCTGCATTTAGGTACATGAATCACATTATGGTGTGTTTTGTGGAGAAGCTGTAAATGTTATGATGAATGTCCCACTGTAAATCAGTCCTTCAGCTTGAGAAATAAACAGCCATACTGATCAGCTTTGCTCTTTACTCTTTCTGGCCAAGGAGTGCTTCCTGTTGGACTATACCATACTGCTTATGCCATCATAAGCTTAATAATAACAACCTACTTTTTACTTTACCTGTTCAAGCAAATAGAAAGTACTGGGCTGCTGTAATAAAACCTGTAATAAAGTATCACCTTAGATCTGGAAGGTTACTGATCTAAAAGATGAGTGGGTGATAGCAGGAGGCTGCAGCTGGTTAGGGGGTGCTAAGAGCTGCCTTACATTTGAGAGGCCTCTTTTTACCCGTATCACTTGGAATTTCTCTACTTATACTATTTTCCCTGTGGGAAGTAGATGGTAGTATATTTTACAAAAAGACATGATTGCAAAGCTCACAAATACAAAATGCTTCAGATTGTGGATGCCAGCTCAGCACTGTGGCTGGCAAGCACTCTTGCAATATTGACAGTAGTTTTTGGTACAGTCTATCTTTGCTTTTCCCAGCGGAGGGCAAGACAAAATAGTTATTCTGAGAGAAATCTGTGGCATGATAGTAAGGTAAGTCTCATTGCTACCCACAGCAACCTCTCCCCTTTGTGTAAGTGCTAAGGCTCAGCTAGTAATTTGACTCATCTTTCATTTCCAGGAGCACAGAAAACAGAACAAAAAAACTCAAAAAATCCCCATCTATATGCCAGCTGCCTTAGTAGCAGTAAGCACAAAAATAAGCTCTGACTTTAATTGAAGTCATGGCCATGCAAGACAAACAACACTGTGTGTCAGCTGAGAAAATAATTTTCAAATTCAGTTCCCCTACATTATTGATACCTATAATCCTGTCCTGGTGATCGAGTCATCAGGAAATTACATGTAGCCCCCACAGTCATGACTTGAGAAATGGAGTATTAACACTACTTCACTGTCCTTCAAAGACCAGATGTTGTTTTTTTCCTTCAGCTAGGCCTCCTGCAGAAAAAAAAATGACGAGGAAATATCTTTCCTCAGAGAGAGCTGCCTGCACAGTGCTGCTGGCTGGGATGGAGCCAGGCTTGCTTTGCTTCTGATCCCTCTGAGTCCTGCAGGCACTGTGCACTGGAGACCTGGAAGCCCTGGAGCTCATACAGTAAATGCAGTTCTAATTTGCAGCAAGTCAGGTGGCTTTAATTACAGGGGCAGACAGATTTAAACCACACACATAGGCGTGAAGAAGGGATAAGCAGATCTTTTTATCGTGAAGAAATGTTAGATAGTATCTGGGTTGTGCAATATATTCCTGTCACACATTCCCTGCCTCCTTACAAGCTTTTAATTCACATGCTTCATAGGAAGTCCTTTTTGCCAGCTACAGGAATCTTTTTCTTGTTGGAATGTTTTGTTAAAGGGAGCTGGTACACAGAGAACTGGGCTTAAAGTGGACTCAAAAAAAAACTTTTTTTTTTTTTTTCTCTCTGAGGGAGATAATAAACTCTCAGAGATAAAATGACTTACTCTTCCTTTGGACATGCAAAGACTGCTCCCATTGTAACAATTAGAAGATTTCCCATAACTGATACGATTTTGCCGTCATTCATGCATGTAGACTGGAACTTTTTGAATAGCTCCTTTTTTACCCTGAAAAACTATTTCCAGCCTTTATTTGCACAACGTAGAAAGGCCTGTCATTCTGAAATTGCCGTCTCTACTCTCATTATTAGAGATGTGAGCAAAGATTTGCTATTTTATAGATCCCTTTGCTTCGGAGTCAGTACAGTTTGCACTATCATGCAAGCTCAGATAGTGACCTGACCTGACTGAGGGTTCTTCTCAGACAGGGTTTCTGTTCACTCCTCTTTCCATGGGAGGATAATGGCTCATGTCTGTTGGGGTGAGGGTAGGTTAAGTTATTGTGTTATGTTTACTCCTTGTAATGGCGTACTGGTAAATTTGGGGATTGCCTTTGCTTGTTTCATTTTCAGTTGGATATTACAGTGGTTGGAAGGCATCCTAGATGTGTTTAATTCTGGCATGAGACTAATCCCAAAGGAGATAAAGTTGGAGGCACCGATATGTTGAAGTGAACTCCAGTGCACAGGCCAGCCAGCCAGATTCATTTAAACACGGATGTGAGTCAAAGTGCTAGATCCCAAATCCTGCCAAACCCTAGTTTCAAGTTTACTTCAGAATTCTGATGCTCTGTTTCATTACTGTTGCATTACAGTTTCCAAACCACAGCATAAAAGCATTTACTCCATCTCTGTAAATTTAGCAACCTGAATTCAGCTTTGGAGAAACTATAAGAAAGCACATTAGACCAAAGAGCTGGCACTCAGGGTGGGAGGATTGGGAAGGGGTGACACTACAGTCCCTTATTCTGGAGTCAGAATATGCCTATAAGGGGAAAGTGGCGTGGTGCAGAGCCATCCAGCATGGCACACATGGACTTACCTGGTTGGATCCAGAGGCAGCTCTGAGCACAGTTAGAGATTTGAATGCATTACTATTCCCTTGCACATCTACTTGCAGGACTAAACGTGGACACAAGGCAGCTGGCATGGCAGTGGGTGTTAACATGCAATTCACAGACCACATATATAATCTGGAGGCACTTACCTTGCTCAGGTACCTTACATGCTTCCTAACTACGTGCATTTTTTGCTTGCTCATCAGACCTACTTAAAGCTCTTATTTCCCACACCTAAGCACCTTGCTTCAGCTGTCAGCTGATGGCATGCCCATATGCTATCTGCAATTGCTATTACATACAGGGAGAAGAAATTGGAAAAGATATTAAAGAAATAGAAATGTCATGGGTCAGGCTGACCTGTTTTTTCTGACTCAGCTTGCCACATCAGCAGCGATTTTAAGATTTGGGAGATAGATAAGAAAGAAATTACCTGATGGAGAACTAGGAAGTGAGGGAAGGCGGGGAGGGCACAAAAGCACATGGTGAGATCTATCAGAGTTTAAGCCATTTATCAATTTGTCTGAAGGAGTCCTACTACAGAGTTTGTAGGAGAGTAGCTGGTTAGAGTCTGTGTTCCAGGGATCATCCAACAAAACCTGACAGCTGCTTCTGTTGTCCAGCAAGTTGAGTTCACTCCTACTCTTTTGAGACTTGTGTGCAAAATGCTGGGTGCTGGTGGTGGTGGAGAAGCTTGAAGTTGTGCTCTGGGAAGCAGTTAGGAAGGAATTGCCCACAGTGATTGGAGGGAGGCTCTGGGTTCTGCTGGGCAGAGGTCCCTCACGCTCTGGTTGCTTCTCTTCTGGTATGAGGTACTTTGTGTCTGTGCTCCTTCTTTTGAAGTCAGTGGTGGTCACATGCTCATCTGGAATGTCTTTGCAGTTTGTGTCCATAATGCAATCAAAAGTGGTGATGATGTCATCTACTTCTGAGGTCTCTTCTCTAGGACATTGGTCTCTGCTTCTCTCCTGACTGGTTTTCTGATCATCTTTCTTCTTTTTGCCAGAGAAGATATAGTTCAGTATACTGAATCGTCCTTCTTTCTTTAGGAGTCTGTTGTTCTGGGAGGGAAACTGATGAACTGGCTCAGATCTACTGGAAGTAAAAATCAAAATGTGATGTCATTATTGGCAAATAATGGAAAAATACTGCCAGTGTTAGCCTATGAAATGGAGTATATACTGTTCAGATACATTTGCAGGGGTGGTTCAAGGAGGCAGAAAATTAGGACTCCAAATTTGTAAGACTGAAAATGACACCGTATTACTTCACTCTTTCTTAGGGGGTTCATTGACTTACACATCTTAATGTAGGCTCAGTGCAGCTATCAAGAATGCAAACAAGCAAACAAACTTTTCTCACTTCAGCATCTACCACCTGCAGAATCATTATTCTTAATGGTGAGGCCAGATCCAATAATAACAAGACCACACTGGGATCTTCAAAACCAAGTGGACTTTGTATTATGTCATATTTCAAAAATGGTATTTCCAACAGCACAGTCATTGCTAACACTGTAACAAAGTCACTAGTTCACCTTTCCTTTCCTTTCCCTTTCCCTCTGCCTCTGCCTCTCCTTCTTCCCCTTTCCCCTTTCTCCTTTCTCCTTTCCCTTTTCCTCTTTCCCCTTTTTTTCCCCATTTCCCTTTCCCCTTTCCCCCTCCCCCTTTCTCCTTCTCCTTTCTCCTTTCTCCTTTTTTTTATCTTTCTCCTTTTCCCTTCCACTTGCCTTGTCTTGCCTGTACTAAAGAGACCCGGCACAGTTTCAGAAGATCTAGCAAAGTCATTACCTACAATGGTGTTGCTGTAGTGATTTTTAGATGAGAGTTTGACTAATCAACATTTCAGACCCACTGCAGTGTGCAGGAGGAGGAGAAGGAGAGGTGATGTTACCCGTGTCTCACAATTTGTAACACAGGAAATAATACTAACTGCTGACTGGAAAGGAGGGGAAAGCACAAAGAAATGTGATGATAAATGTCTTTTTAAGTGCATGCTCATTTACCAAAGAACTGAAATGAAGTAAATGACTGCTGAAACATGAGAAATACAAAGAGAAAGGAAGATCATAAGCAATGGTAAAAGACTTACACTTTTTAACAGAAAAAACCCTCAGAATAAGAAAAGACAATCAAGGTAGAGAACGAAAGAAGGCTAGGACAACACTCCCAAACCCTTACCCTGAGGATAAAAACTTGAGATTTGTTTTATTACCTATCTGGAAAAGCTGGTTTTGTGTTCAGTCTATCCCTCTGTCTGATTACACGAACACACAGCTAGCACATAGAGATTTCAAAAAAGTGGAAGGTATATATCTGAGGGCTGAAATTATTCTGTAAGATGACGTTTCTGCACAAAGGTGACTGCGCAAGAGCTGTAGTAACACCTTCTTGGTTCAGAACCCTCTGCTGATTGGCAGACTAGCACTGTAACTGCAGTGATGAGTATTCAGTAGATGACTAATTCTACTGTTGCTATTTTGGTGGAAAACTTGAACTGAGTATTGTAGATGAATCGAGGAGACACCACCCAGGGCTCAAATCCTTCAGTAGCATATAAAAAGCAATAAATTGTTTTCCAGTCAGTGGCAACGTGTGAGCAAGATGTGAACTTTTGCTTTACCTGCTCTCCTGAGACAGCAGCTTGATGCATTCTGTGTGCCCACAGTACATTGCGTATGTCAGAGGAGTGTTTTCATTGATGTCTCGAGGGCTGCTGTCTACCCCCAGATCAAGCAGTACCTGCACACAGTCAGCTTTCCCTGCTGCTGCAGCCCAGTGCAAAGGCGTCCTACAGAAAAAGAGGACTATCATTAAAATAGATGGATAAATTTACTATCAAAACTATAAGAGATGTAATAAAGTGCTACTACCCTACTTACCCAGATTCATGACATCCATTTTACAGAATTCTCTAGCAACTTATCCCACACTGATGTAGCTGCCAGTGGTGGTAATAAGGGCATAAAATGGCATCTATGTGCATCTGGTATGGAGGACAATGGCTGAAATATAA